CAGCAACTGTGTGATGCCATCATGTCAATATGGACCAAACTCCCTGAGGAATGCTTCCAGCACCTTGTTGAATCTATGCCACGAAGAATTGAGGCAGTTCTGAAGGCAAAAGGGGGTCCAACCTGTTACTAGCATGGGGTACCTAATAAAGTGGCCAGTGAGTGTATATAGTGATTATGCCATTTTAAATGAGTGTCTAAACATATAGTGCATGAAAAAAAGTAATGTACTCGAAAGTTCCCACACCTTGAAAAGTATTTATCATCGATGATCGTTAGACGTGGAGATATATCCCAGTTGTTTTGCGAGAGCTCTCTGCACAACAATGGGATTTGTTGTCACAGAGGCCCGCTGTCAACAGCAACAAATAACAAAGATGGAGCAGGCGCCGTATCCAGAGGCAGAGTTATGTGACCAATGGGGAGCGAGAAGTAGTGATCATCTGTCCGAACCATAAGTTCACTATAAAGTCCACTATATAGTCCGGCTCTATATAGTGATTGAGGATTTAGGGGAACGCCGTTTTTTTTACATTGGGCCCTTGATTTTACGTGAACGGTAGCCGTGTGGGCCGGCTACCATTCATTCTTCCTGTCTGCTGAACTGCTGCTAGTTTTACTCACATGCCTGGAAGATGTCTAGTGCTGCTACCACAGATGATCTCGTTCTCCTAATGGAATTGATCAATTCAGATTAGCTAGCCAAATGAATAGAAGGGGTAGCCGCCTGTGGCCCGGGCTTCCTGTCACAACTCCAGTCCGGCTCGCGGATGACATCATATATGCGCCGCTTTGTTTTTAAAAGATATAAAATATATAACTGCGGATTTCTGGGGGACAGTGATTCCCCTACATGTTATGAATGCTGGCGTACCATAAAGAATACATTATGAACAGTTTAGTTTGTGCCTTCAAGTCGTTGCCCATAGGAAGACTTTACTTGGATATAACCTAATGGAATATCTTCAGAATGGCTCCAAATGACACAAAACTCATATGGGTGAGTAGAACATGATGGAATAACGTAAAATCAACGGCCCAATGTAAAAAAAAAAACGGCGTTCCCCTTTAAGACACAGCCCATATGGTGTCTTCAAATGGGTGCACCGCCATCTCTGTATTTATAATCAACTCAGAGAGATTGTTTTGGAACCCTTTCATTTTAAGCACGATTTTAAGACCTTGGCAGAGTATGTATTTATCAGAGCAATACATGAGTTGTAGCAATAACAAAAAAACAACCATCTAAGTAGTTAGAAACTGTCCCTGGGAAGGAGTCGGACCAACTGGTTGAAACATTTGTTCTGGAGCTGTTGCTGTTTTTTTCACACTTTAGTAGAAAATTCTGGCAGAATCATTTTTAAATTGCTGCATGATGACGTGGAAGAATGACTCCATGGGTTCTTTATCTGCTTCTTTCACTTTATTGTTACAGGTCTGTGAATCCAGGGTCCAGCCCCATTCCTACCAGCGTAGTCAGAGTTCCAGGATCGGTACCAGATGATGATGCTACAAGAATGTTATCTGAATCGGACTCTGGCTTAAAGATGTCACGCAGCGGCAGCTTCTCCCCGACCTCTCAGGAGCACGTTGGCTCTGGAGCGGACACACCAGAGATTCCAGACTTCAAGGCTCAAAACCGACGCCTTCTGCCAAACCTGAAGAACCCATTACACATTATAGATGGACCTGAGCAGCGCTATTTCATCGGCATCATTGACATTTTCACAGTTTACAGCTTTAAGAAAAGGCTGGAGCATCTGTGGAAGAGTCTGAGACATCCTGGGAGGTCCTTCTCCACCGTCAATCCTCAAACATACTGTCTCCGGCTCTGTCAGTGGGTCCAAGACCACGCCAAGTAACAGACATCAGGATGACGACTGATTTTACAGGTCCAAAAGATCACAAGCATATAGCATGCTCATGATTGGGTCTATACATCCCAGAAGGTCTTTAAATGAGATAAAACCACCATCAGAGATACTAAAAAATAAATAGGTCCCTGTATTTTTGTAATTGTGCAAGAAGTAAACCATAGTAATGCATCAAGAAAGAAAGTCAGGCAGGCTCTGCTGATGAGCTGCATTGGTTAATAAAGAGAAATTAGCAAGAATCTCAGAGCGGCAACTAGTTTGGCTGTTTTGGCAATGCTGAATCTCATTGAAGAAGAAGGTTCTGGTACCGGTTCCTCTGGACAGATCCGACCAAAGCAGAGATAATTGACCATGATTGACAGAATCCAAACCAAACCTGGTGTTCTGTCAGATCACGATGCCCTGTTAGAAGGCAAGGCAAGGCAAGGCAAGGCAAATATATTTCTATAGCACAATTCAGTACAAAGACAATGCAAAGTTCTTTACATGATTAAAATACAGGAAAATAAAAC